TGGTTCAGAGCCACTTAAAGTTCTCATTGATTCTGTCAAATACCTCAGTGTACATGCACAGGAGGCTTAAAAACGATCATACCATTGTTTTCTGCAAGCTATAAAATCCCCAGTGGGGCTTGTAGGTTCCAGAAGCTTTCTGTAGCCCTGCAGATGGTCAACACACAGAGCCTGTCAGCAAACAGACGTGGGTCTGACCCCAGTCAAAGGCCCTTAACCCAAATCTGCCCATTACCTCCAATCAGGCCTGACCGATCAATACCGGCTATCCCTGAGGAGCCACGCCACGCTGACATTTCTGTCTGAGTGTTTTCATTCTCTTGTGACAGGAGATGAACATTATCTGTGACTTCACAGCTGAGCCAACCACGCACAACACTTTTCAAAACCTATTGGCTTTCTTCATAACATCCCGTGTATGCAAACATCATTTCAAGATGTTTTGTGAACACTGATACCCTTCACTGGGGCTCAATAGAAGCAGGTGGCCTCTTTTTGGCCATTGAGAGGAAGGAAGGAGGGCGAGGTCAGCGGCAACAGAGAGTGGACGGGTCACCTACATGGAAATAGGAGCACCCCTGTGGCGAGCAGATAAAAGGATGTGCACCCATCCAGAACTGTCCTTTACATGGACGGGAGCAGCAGTCTGACTCAAGGCTCAACAGCCACCAGTGGGGGTGGACCGGCCTTTTTTTCAGATAACGCCTTTCAAACAGCGCAGACTTCCGCAAGAAGCCCAAGGTCTGATAGCGGAACGTGAGCCTCCTTTTCAACAATGCACCACTTGTACTTTTTTGTGTGTGTATGGCACTATATAACTGACAAGGCTTTGTATGTTTGTTTACCTACACAGTGTTTTATCACAGAACAGATACAAAGGTTGACCAGGGGGGGCATCCTGCTCGGGGACGGCGCCGGGTTCAATCCCAGCCGTCTCAACAGAAAGCTTTGATCAAAAACCACATCACACAAAGACTGAAGATTGTATATTTCAGTGGGTGGGATCCAGGTCTATGACAGATCAGATTCCATACATTTAACCTTTAAAATGGCAATAAGTGACAGTTTCCGAGACAGTCCAACACCATATACCACCCATAAACTGTATGACTACACTCTCTTCAAAAAGTATGTTGTTTAATTCTATAGCAACTCCGAGGGAGGAGCAACAGCGTCAACAGTTGCCGGGGCCCTGACAGCGAGCTATAAGAGCCGAGCCCGCGACACGACAGCAAAACCACAGTATAGTAATTATATATCAAAGACCCTTCATAGCCAATAGGGCTAAATGGAATATGAAGAGAGCGACATGCACCACAGGCTGTCAGAGCGAGAGGAGGGCTGCAGTCAACAAAACTTAAGAGTAAATAAAATCCTTTAAGAGATGTGGTACAGCGTGGAAATAGTCAACTTTAAACTATACCGGGGGCACAGTTTGTTCAAAGTGAAAAGAAACCTGAAACAAACTGTTTATGTAGAAATAAATATATACTGTAGGATGGACGATCTTGCAACATACAACTGCTAGACTAAAACTAAACTAACTTTGCCTACAAAGTCTCAAAAACACAAAATCACAGCAAATTCGTATCAATGTTCTTTGGCTTTTTCATGATTGTATAATATTTTAAGGTTTTGTCTCCTTGTTTAGATAGTGTATTCTCTGCCTTTTATCACCTACTTGTTTTTGCGCTACCACATTTTGAAAAGTGCAAAAATGGCGGTACTGTAATTCCTCAGTAACATTGCAGATCATTTAAATGCATTTTTTAAAAGTACAATGCTGAACCTGAGATCTATTGTACACAATGTATTAGTTATCTTGCCATGAATAAGCTTGGTGAATTTGCCGTTAATGTATGTGCTGCAGATAACTATATTATTTATATATCGCTATCAGATAACACCATTCAACTTTGAGTGAACAGGTGCAAATCGAAAATGAGAAATGATGACCCAACGTTCCTGTTCACACTGGCCTGTTGAGCTCTTTCTCTCTCTGTGTGTGTGTGTGTGTGTGTGTGTGTGTGTGTGTGTGTGTGTGTGTGTGTGTGTGTGTGTGTGTGTGTGTGTGTGTGTGTGTGTGTGTGTGTGTGTGTGTGTGTGTGTGTGTGTGTGTGTGTGTGTGTGTGTGTGCCTTGGGGCCAGTTCATGCATGACCTCACTGTGAAAATGTGTACCTCCTGATTCAAGGACCTCTCGGTCAAAAGTACGAATCATGCGTTTGTCTTTGGCACAAATAAAAACTGTCAAAGGACATCAGAAAATCCACAATTAGACTTGTTATCGCCACCTCCATTCATTTTGAAACTTCCGAGTCTTTTCTACTTCTTCTATGGCTGCATCTACTTTGTGGAATACTGAATGTGTGGGACGGCAGGGATGGTGCAAGCTAGATACAATAGTGCAAATTGTGCAGATTGCACAAGTGCAGATTGTGCAAATGAACAAGCAAGCAGAGGTGAATTACACAACTCGTACACACACACAACCGCCTCCGTAAATGACCCTCGCCAAATCAGATCATATTCCCACAAAATATATGTCAATGCCACACAATTTTGACTCTGTGTGGAAGATTCCTGCACTCTCCCAAATGATCTCCAGTATCTGCTCCTAATGGGGAACTTTGGAGACTTTGGTTTCCTTTCTAGGTCCATCCTCGCTTGGAAAATAGAATCACTAAACGAATGTCCCACTACTGCTTACACCAGCTGTCTCACTTAAATTTGCATTTTGTTACGGCATTTCTTCCATAAAAGACAGATTTTACAGTTCTAAAACTCAGTTTGAGAGGAATAAAAAGTGGATTTTGTATGGATATCTTGTTGCTGCATGAAATCACCTGAAGTGTTCTTGCATATGTTTTGTTTTAAAAGCAGAAAGAAAAATGCACTCCGACTCAGAAATACTAAGAGGAAGAGTGAGCATATTGGAATATTTTTTGGCACCAACAGGAGAGTAAATTGACTGAAATGAGATTTAGCTCAGGACGATATGCTTCTATTCCACCTCAACAGAAAACCTAAAGTCATGACTTCTTTACATGGCTTAGAAAGTATTAGATTTCATGGCTTTCAAAGCTAGCAGACAGCACTTTTCCACAATTCCCTCCCTAGAAAAGTAGCTGCATGGGGAAATTAAATAACAGCTTTCCTCCCATCTCAAACCAAGAGTTAATCTGTTTTCCTTGTACAAATCTAGGAACGCTGTCTTTATTTTGAATGCTGCCAACACTTGCTTCCCCATTCGGCTCTTCTTTTTTCATTATGTCCAACATTGCAGGGGCCCCCTTCGAGGTCTTGCATATTTAACGTGCACGGACCAAATCCGGTCATTCAAGCTATACGAAATCCCAAAGCTTTTATCAATTTGTCAGATGAGCTTTCCATAGTTTAACATCAGATACAACTTTGATAAAAGACCAGAGGCAAAAGACTTGAAGCTTGAAAGCTCATACAATGTTAAGGTCGCAAAAGGCAGGAAATAATTAGAGGATTTTAGCGGAATTCCAATACACAATCAATGCATTGATTTGGCCATAATTTCTCAGCCATAACTTTTTTTATTTGTGAATAAAATAAATATAACAATTGTCAGTATTATCCTAATTTGACGTTTCCAGATATAATTATGAGTAATTCAAAATTGGTGGAAGATTAAAAACGTAACTAGCCCTTTTCTCTTCACTAGGCAGATGGATGGGCTTCAGTCATTACGCTCGACAGACCCTCAGCTCGTTATATTAGCACTTTGTGATGTAAATGAAAAGGATAATGTTAGTTTGTCGGCCAGTGAGGATGTTTAGCGCTTTTGTTCTAAGAAGGATCCTCACTTTGTCTTGTAGATGTCTTTTTCAGTTTTTATGAAAAACTGGGCTATTTGGGCTTTGGAGCCCATTGGTGGTCAGAACGATACAAACGCGTTCAGCTCGGTAAACACTATTAGGTTCAAATACAAGAAAAAACACTTTAACATTGTAGTTGTAGTTAACATCTCTGAAATTATCTAAGAAGTTAAGGGAATTGATTTGGATCATCAGTACGATTTTTGAAAAATGTGCCTTTCCCGTTAACCCCTAATATCCCAATCCATAAATAGTTTATAGTCTGCTATGAAATGTCTGTGGGGTCACTTTTTGTCATACATGTGCTCACACAAAATGTAACAATACAGAGAGATTAGCTGTGCTAAAACGCCAAACTCTGCCACAAAAAAATGACGTCCAATTTATAAAAATTGACCATAGTCGTAACCAAACACACAAAACACAACTATTTTCACATTTTAACTCGACGGAAAAGCCTTTAGACACGTCCCCGTGAAGGTGCAGTGTTGCACTGTGTCCAATAGAGATCACTGCACATCGCAAACAGGCCAGGCTGAGTGGAGCCCCCCAGCATAATGTCACACTGAGTCAATATTTAGTTAAATAACATACAGGATAGAAACAAGTGAACAATCAAACATGCAATTTAGCTAATGGAATTAATATGGCATAATAATGTAGCCTACGTGCCAGCAACATGACGCCTAAATGGACATAAAGAAAAGCAAGAGGCGCAACCAAAGTGTGTCACTGTGTTTAAATTGATACTTTAATTCTGGAATAAACTCGAATAAACTCAAAAAAACTTGTTGGATAATTGGGAAAAAATACATTAATTTGATGTGCTTTAATAAGGTCCAAATGTATTGCATTGCAAACCACTCTGCAATGAATTAGCTGCAACTAATGTGTAGTGCGTTTCTGTTAGAAATGAACTAAACACATTTCTTTAATTCTCTTTATAAGACAAAACTTGTGAAAACATTTGATAAAATATATATTTGTCCATTGTTGATCCATATCAGCAAGACTTTTCTGCAGCACTGCGTTGCCAATTGCCCAATAAATCTATTTTACGGAGTAATAAAATCATGTAAAAATGCTTCCATCTTTTAAATTTCGTTTTTTGCACATACTCTATCCACACACAGTAGTATACAATGAGTTTTACCTGTACCACTCCAGTCCGTTGTCATAGTTTCGGTCGAAGAAGTGCGGCTCCGCTCCCACGGCTCTGATGTCCGGATGAACCCGGAGAAACTCCAGCAGAGCCCGGGTCCCTCCTTTCTTCACCCCGATGATGATCGCCTGCGGCAGCTTCTTGCTCCCGGAGCCGTTGGAGAAGCTGGACATGGCGCTGGGCTCCGGGGCTCTCTGCTGCTCTCCCCGCATCTCGTCCCAGTCCTCGGCTCGGTCCATGTCCATCTCGTTATCCAGCAGGTCTCTGGACGCGGCAGTCCTGATGGACGGCTCCTCGTAGTCGCTCTCTATATCCTCCCAGGGCTGCGGCTTGGCCAGCAGCCGGGACACCAGGTCCGTCCTGCCGCTCTCTGTCCTCTTCCCCACCGCAGACACAGTCTCCTTGCCCCGGTAACTGTCCACCACCAAACTTGGCATGGTGGAGCAGTAGCCCACGCAGGAGTACAGCATGTATACCCAGATTAAAAACATGATGCTGAGCAGTATTAGTTTCTTCTTCACGGGGCTGGACCAGAGGGCATACAGGCTGTGACAAACCAGGCTATATTCCATAAGCCTTTCGGTTGAAAATCATATCCCAGCGGCGCATATTGCCAAAGTCACTCCCGTTGGCACCTCGGAAATCCTCGCAAAATTATGCACCTAAAACTAAACATAAATATTTTCAAATAAAACAAAATCTTAGTGTAAACGAAGAGAATGGCACATCCTGGAATGAAAATGCATTGAGGAATTTGTAATCATAGTTGTGGCTATACACTATGGGAGGTTGTGAATCTGTCAGACGCAGCGCGAGGCTGCTCCAGGCTCATCTCAGGTTTGTTAAAACTGCTGCTGGAGCACGAGACCTTATACAGGGACGAGCAGGAGAGTGACAGCAGCGACAGCCAATAGGTGCAGAGGAGATAAATATGCAGCCGTTTGTTTATATGAGCGGGCCAATCAGGGGGAGGGGTGGGCGGGGCCAGTGGGAGCCTCGGTATGGAGATGAAGCGTGTGTGCGGGACGCTGCTGAGAGTTTGGAAAACTTTCTTATTGGGCATAGAAACCAATTAACTCTTGTTTCTCATGTAAGCGGACAGAATGTTTAAATGAGATCAGACAACTTTAAATATTTCCAGCAGGTTTCTTCTGACAACCACTTTGTGCGTGTTTTGTTTATAATGCAATAGGCCTACACAAAATAAACTTCAAATTCTATTTCAGCAGATGCTCTGAAAATAAGGGAAAGCTTTAGGAAAAGGAACAGACGTAACTGATTAATTTAAACCTAAACACACACGTGACATGAAATGACTGCTCATTGAATGAGAAGCAATGCAGAGGTCAAAGTTATTCCTACATTTATGAAAAAGGAAACAAAGCTCAAACAGATCGTTAACTTTAAAATTAGTTGTTTTAATTATATAATTAATTACATAATTACTGATAATTAAATGTGAGCACGTCTCGTAAATCTGAACCATTACTTCTGTAGAAACTAATGAAAAATAATGACGTTAAACTTAACTTTATTTACCCGGAGAGAAATTGAAACAATAAATACAAACTAATATAATCTAACGGCATTCAGGGCAAATAACTATTAACAAGAACTACTTATGCATTTAGAACACTCTTTATCGCTTATATGTCTTAATTGAGATGTTACGCATTATGAATTACGTCTCTTAATATTAGGCTATACAGCATGTCAATTCACGGCTTGAGCAAATAGAAGACTGTATTATGAAGCTAAAATCACTCATTCAACAGGTTGCACAGGACATTTCTATTTATTTTAACAATACAATAATTAATAACGACTTTGCTTTTTAACTATTGCCTTATTCATGACATAGAGTCCTCCCTCTAACTTTGAGAAGTCAAGCAACTTAATATCGTTTTATTAAAATAGTACATTTATATTTAATAGAGAATGTATCAGAATAGCAAGAGAGTAATGAAAAACGCAACCCTACATGGACACGTTTCTTTTTAGGAGATTTTTTGTGCGTAATTCAGTAATTTTCCTAACGCAGGCACTGTTAACATTTATATCTGGGAAACTTGAGGAACCCTGTATTGAATAAAAAGCCCAACAGTGGGAATATGCACTTAATTTAGAGATAAAGAAAGAAGAATAAAGTTTCAGCGACTATTTTTCATCTGAGACTGGAGATGAGTCAAAACAGATCTGTAATATAAACCCGGGGAACCTCGGCCGAGTTATGAAATAGAACCACTGACAGACTGTTTTCATCTTTTTAAAACGAACGAACAGACTCACTAAGTGTGTACGACTTCTACTTAGATGTGTTTTTATTGCATATGAACATAAAAGCTTTTATTTTTGCAGTTTTGGCTGCAATTCACAAAGTCAAAACCACGTCGAAATAAAAGCCTCGCTCTTTTAAAAACAGTAATAGAGATCTTGTGATCAAGTACAAAAATATAAGTATTTTCAGCAGCAGATTCGTTTTTTATCTCTATTTTCCTCATAGAAAAACATTGGTAGGATGACCTGTTGCGTGTGATGCAAGTTTATTTTCCACGGAATCAATCATTTATCCCTCTGATATTCTTAGATAGTTTTACATTATGGGTTTTTAGTTTCTGTCCAAACGCTGCTTTATAGTTTATTGCAGAGCTTTGGATTCTATGTTGCAACACCAACCTTTGAAGGGAGGCCAGAGGTCATCCGTCATCCTGAGACTTCACTGCTGCTTTCAATCCTGCTGCCTCTACTGTTTCCCCTCTGGATGTTAAAGCTGCTGGGAGGACTTCAGATGGGACTCTCCTGTTTACAGATGCATATGTTGCCCCTTTAGTGTTGTTGAATACGAGAGGAAAATCTCAGCAATTAACATAAATGGTTTATTGACTAGTATCAGCAATGAGAAGGAGAGAAGCTTCCATGTTTTTATGCAACAAAATAAGAATATGAAATATAAATGGCTTTCTTAAAATTTGTTAGCTTATTGTGAAGAATCTCAAGTCCAAAAATGGCAAAATCCAATTCAGACACTGTACAATTATAATGATGAATACCTATGAATTATTACATAATGATTAAGTGTCTGGAGTAAAAAAAACAACTAAATTTACCCCTTGAAAATGATATCTCAGATTCCTTTACTGAAAACCTCAGAATCTAAGAATATGCTAATATTTCTCATTTCAAAATGTATAATCTTTTTTACTACGTTCAATCTGGTAAAGTTCATTCTCGGTGAATGCGCACTGGAAGTTTCAAGTTTCCACATCCCCCTTGTGTCAGTTCTTGAATTGCTCCCACACGGGCTGTGATGTCACCAAATCACAATCGTAGACGCTGTAAAGTCAGATTTAAGGAGAGTGTATGGATTTAAAAACAGCACATACATCACTCACAAGGGAAGCTAAAACATCCGAGCTAAGATACAAAAAACACATTTCAGAGAGCACTTGTTGGCATAAGTAAAGTTCATAATGTCATTGAATAACTCCCAAACCTCAATCTGAGACTAAATAAACTAGCTGGAGGCTTTTTTGGAATAATGGATGGATTTACCTTGCATCAGAACAGCAGCTCAAAGACATCTCTTGTATAATCTGAGGAGGAACGCTTCTGTTGGTTGTGGCGAATAAATCGAGCAACTGTTCAAAGCTATTGACCTAACACTGAATATGGAATATAACTCAGAACAGCATCAGCAGTAGCTTTCTGTTCTCCTGGCTCATAGGACAAGACGGCAGCTCTCTACCTCTATAGGAGCGGACATTGTGAACAGGCCGTCACCCTGAGCCCTGGAGGTTGATATCCAATCTGCACACAAGTTGGTTGTGTGTGTGTGTGTGTGTGTGTGTGTGTGTGTGTGTGTGTGTGTTGTCCCCACTTCTCTCTTAACTGTAACAGCTGGCTCGATCGCTCCCCTCCCTCCCTCTGATATGAAACTCTGTATCCGGTCGGACACTTTACGAGGATGTCGAGCCGTTTCAGGTCTCCCGGCCTTGGCTAAATCCCACAGCCCCCTTTTATGGAGGGAGGATGGCAGCGAGGGGAAGGGGACGCTCGTTTCTCCGAGTGCGGTGATGGAATTGTAACCCAATACCAAAACTAGGGGTAAAGGGCGGAAGGGGAGCACATGTGTACTGACAGGTGCAGAGGTGGCCTGCTAAATAGAGCTCATTGGAGGGATGGCAATGTTGTAGCATATCCACTAAGGCTATAATTGAAACTTGAATCCATACATTATGTGGAGGCAGCACCACCTACCAAGGCGTGGTGCACAAGGCCTTGACTTCAGGTACACCATTTACAAGATTTAAATGAAGTGGAATGATGACAAAAGATAGAATAACAATGATGAGGGATTTATTGTAAGAGAACATTTGCCCTTGTGTTTGGTACAGGGGTTAGATATTCCCTTCGTCTTTTAATTAAACCATAATGACAAAAAAGGAAGACACATCTTTTGCTGAGAAGCGAAATACAAAGAGGCATCTCAAAGAATGATAGAAAGTGAAAACCCAATGAATAGATATCAGGTGCATTGTGATAGCGGATTCATATAGTTTATATTTCTCTTATTTTTAAACATTGACTGAGAGCTCCAACAGAGATCCTGTGATCCCCATGATGTCTTCAAGTCCTTTATGTATCCTCTTCTTCTATTTTGCATTTGTGCAATGCAGACAGTGAACCCTGTGTGGATCCATAGGAGCGATTTACAGTCATTGTACAAGACATTTAACATCAGTCATGTGCAACATGGAGAGGAACCCCAATATAAATAAATACAGAATATATACAGTACACACAAGCATTTGAAATGACAACAAACTGATGTGTTTTCTGTAAATCAGATATTTTTGATCCAAATCATTTCCAGCTCATTTCCTGATCTGCAGTGACAACCACCTTAAAGCACACAGTTAAAATAATGTGTCCATTATGCAGACCCCTCTTAGCACGAGTGGTTGAAGACACTGAGGGAGCATCTCAGTAAAAATAAAAACTCTCAGAGGTCTAAGAAGTGTTTAGGAAGGCAGTGAGCTTTGCAGAGCGAGGGCTAAAGAGGCTGCGGGGGGTTCCTCGGGGTCTCTGCGGGGCTTCTTGCAGGTGAAGGCCAGCAGCAGCAGCATGGGCAGGTGCCACAGGCTGCAGAAGAACAGCTTGCGGGCGCTGCCTCGGTCGCCCTCGCGGTAGAAGCGGAAGGCCAGGTAGCTGATGTACAGGTTGATGGGCAGGGAGATGATGGGGAAGGTCCAGGTGGTGACGTCCAGCACCGGGGCCAAGGTGGAGAGGCCGATGAGGCCCAAGCTGTGGCGCAGGGCCACCCGCTTGCACATGCTGGGGTGGGTGACGGACATCATTCTGTAGCCGCCGCGGGAGTAGTCCTCCCTCAGGTTCCAGCTGAGCGCGTTGAAGTGAGGGAATTGCCAGCAGTACAGGAAACCACCCATCAACAGAGCACCTGGGGGGGAGAGAGGGAGAGAATGAGGGAGGGGAATCTGAGGGACTATAATGTGTTCAGCATGCCAATAACAGCCGGAAATAAATGGTTTATGTTTGGATCGGTGCGAAAGTTTTCTTTTGAATCCAACAACTGTAATAATAGTTTTTCCAGAATTTGAACACTTCAGTGACCACAAACAGCTCAGTGCAAACCTTTCTCTTGTATTCTAAAATATACTTAGAAAACGCTTTTTAAGTATATTTTTAGTAAGAGGTTACAAATACATGTACCAAAAGAAAAGCTATAATATAAAACGGCTATGCTTTTCAAATGTCATAACGACAGAGTGAATGATGCGGATCAGACGGTGCTTCGGTTAA